TAACTCAGAACTTTGAAGCACTTTCAAAAAATCCTATTAAGTATTGCTAACAATAATTAGTATAAAATTATTGCACCTATAGGCGGAAACCGCTTAATTTAAATTTTCTGTACTTTAGTACACACTAAATAATGAGATTACAATAGCAAATAGAGAAATATTTTTATAGAGATTTTCACTTACCAGCCTCTCCAGGACGTCCTTCATCACCCACTTGACCTATTTCTCCTATGGCTCCCTTTGGTCCATGGAGGCCTTGCACGCCTGGATCCCCCTTAATACCATCCTTTCCCAGCGGCCCGGTTTCACCCTGCTCTCCGGTCTCTCCTGAGGATCGTAAATTCAAAATGAGTTTTTTAATGAATGTTGGGTCATGCTTCAAGTCTGATACTTCTTAAATAGCTAAGCTTTATCAAAATCTTGTAGTACCAACTTCTATAAAGTACATAAAACACATTGATTTCGAAAATATAAATAATATATCCCTAACTTTAGCTAAAGTATGGATTAATACTATAGAAATTGATAACAATTTATTTTTGAAAAATAAAACCCAATTGGCATAAAATTATAGGAATTAATCGAAAGTCTAGGGAGGAAAACAAAATGAGTAAATAAAATAGTGTAGTGACCTGTCCATACTTCATACTACAGACGTTAAATTCGTTGACTTTCACAACTAGCTATATTCCAACACTCAATTAACTCAAAGACCACTTGTAATTATCGCTCATACGCACTCTCTGTTCGTGTCTGCCAAAAGATTTCTCCATTTTATCGAGTCCACCATTTGAATTACCAAATATGGACCTGTCGAAAAATCAGAAAACGGGATTTATGTGGCATAATTGTTTGGAGTAGAATGAGTTATTTAGGGACCTGCCTTCCCCTTAAGGGGATAAGCTCTCGAGGGCTGCCATTCCTCTCCGTGCCCACTCCTACATCACCTGTTTGCCTAAGGTTTCGGGTCTGAAAGTTTCGATGATCTCCTATCTACAGCCAGAAGTTTATCGTCATGTCAGGGTCGCGTCGTCAACCTTGCCGCTACACTCCTGGTGGTCATACAAGTCCTACCAATGAGTATCTTCTAGTGTTTGCATATTCTCCCACGCCATTCTTCCCCACTTATGTATTTACAATGCTAGAGGTTGGTCGATATTCGTGTAAGAATGACCGTACTCACCTACTATTCACATCTCTAATATTTAATGCATCTGCATCTTCATGACTTCACTTGCTCTGCAGAAGCGCTATGACCGCCGAAAAGTTGACTTTATATCAACGTTACTTAACAGAATTGAGCCTCTGGAGTATCACATTCATTAGCGTCTCCACTTTGGCTACGAAAACTTAGAAACTTCTTTTGGTTGCTCTGCTTTAGGTCCCTATTTTCATTCTATCTTACTACTCATTTATGTACACTACAAATGTACAAATTGAACACAAAAACCTTTAAAACTATATCTGCCTTTTTGGTTTTAGAAAAGACCAGTGATATAACTCAATAAAACGAATTTGAACATCTTCAATAATATTTGGATCTTTTATTGTAAAACGTCATATTTTGTCATATAATGCTATTTTACAATAAATATTTGTACGAAAAACTAGTCATTTTTATTTTATTGCCACAATTTTTTTCACTAATAAGCAGATTTTGAGCATACCAATGAATCATATATATATATATATATATATAATGTATTCATCCCATATAGTTTAGGGTGCAAGGGGGACCGATAGTTTAATTTCCCCAAAAGAATATGAGTCGACTTTGCTTTTTCAATAAATTGCATATAGCTTCGCTTTCTAAAATATATTCTCATCCAGGCTGGACTGCTGTTTTGACCTCTTCTAGGCCTCCTCAGCACCTCTAGTGGGACTCTAATCATGACACTGCAGCGTATAATCTCGATACATTACCCACTACGCCACACTGCCCAGAGTGCCGTTGGGTCACAGGACAGATTTGAATTTCAAGGAGGGCAAGGTATTCTCTGCTATCCAATTCTGTGGTGGGAGTGTCGATTAAGCAAATATCTATTTTTTATAGCGATTTATTTGATTAATTTTTTTTACTAATAGACAAGTTTTTGAGACTAGTCTTCCTATCACCTTAAACAAAATATGTGAATACATCCCACATTATTACCCAAATGTTTGCTTGAGTACAGGTAGATAGCCTAAATGCGTTAGCCTCAATTTCATAAAAAGTTTATAGAAGATGTATATATAACTATTTTATGATACAGTATGAAGTGCTAGAGAGCCCTATTAAGTAGTCGGATAAGTTTGAAATCGAGATTTAATAATTAAGAACTTAGGGATTATTTACCAGGGATAAAGGGCAAATCGAATAATATTAGAAGGCAGCCGGCTCCAGTGTTTAATCTTCACTAGAGTCTATTCAAGAGTAAATGCGAAATTTAAGAAGGAATTTTCTTGTTTTGTAACATCTATGGTTACTTACCTTGGCTTCCGATATCTCCCTTCTCTCCCGCGTCTCCTTCTTCACCTTTCTCTCCCGTCTTTCCGATTTCCCCTTCCTCACCAGTTTCACCTTTCATGCCTTCATCACCCGGAGCACCCCTTTCGATGCAGAATGCTGAAGGACCAACTTCTCCTTTTTTGCCCATCAGACCTTTTTTGCCTTGCTTGCCCTTTACTCCTCGAGCTCCCTCATCTGAGTCGATTGAATCTAGTCCTCTTGCACCTTGCTCACCGACCTCACCAATTTCACCCTT